CGAGCTCAACGGATCCGACCAGCTCCGTTGGTTTGTCCTTTGGCGTAGCGCTTGACGTTTTCTTTTTGGTCGATGGAGCGATGGAGTCTAGGCCTTTCAGCGCGGCTTCGAAACATCTTCGGGCGGCCTCGATGTCCCCGTTGAGGGTTACCACGGCTCCCCTTCTTGTGTAGTATTTCATCTTTAGGTGGACGGTGGAGGGTACCGCGGTGAGTTCTGCTATCGTCGTCCTGCCCAGGATGCAGTTATAGAGGGATGGGCATTCGATCACTAAGAAGCGGACGCTGATGTCCCTGGCTGTTTCTTCTTCTCCGAAGGTGACTTTCAATTCCACGTATCCCCAAGGTCTCGTCGTCGTCCCGTTGAACCCTTGAAGGTCGGAGCCTACGTAGGGAGAAAGGTTGGATTCGTCGAGCTGGAGAGTTGTGAACAGGTGCGAGTACATGATGTCAACCGAGCTCCCGCCGTCAACGAGGAGGCGCCTGACGTCGAAGTTTGCCATTCGGGAACGTATGAGCAAGGGTATGTTGGAATTGGGAGATCCCCCAGGTAGTTCCTCGAGGTAAAATGTGATCGGGTTGGAGCGGCCTCGGAATTTGTCGAGCGTGCTCATTTTGCCGGAGTTGTTCGTGATGAGTTCGTCGAATTTCCTTTTCACAGATCCTATGGATAGACTCCTCGTGGCTCCGTCAGAGATGACCATGGATCTGGGGAAGTATTCCCATCGGCTGGTTGGTCGGATTGGCTCGTCGGTTAGGTTGGGTCCTTCGGGGATGCCGAATTCTCTGCCCGCAAACCAATCCTCGGGGCGGCTGACGCACAACGCGACCTGGAGCCTGCCGCTGTCCTCTGGAGAGGGAAGTTCCTCGATTTTCTTGGCTTCCGGAGCCTCCAGCCTAGGTGGTTCACCTCCTCGGGTGTATCGCTTCAGGTGCCCGTCTTTGATTAGAATTTCGATCGCATCTTTGAGATGGATGCAGTCTTCCGTCACGTGCCCGTGGGTCCTGTGGAATCGGCAGTATTTTGACTTGTCCACGTTGGGTTTGGGCGGCGTAGGTCGTGGAAAACGGACGCCTCCCTGCACGAACTCGGTTTTAGCGCATTCGGCCAGTATGCGTTCGCGTGAAGCGACCAAGGCTGTGTACTCTGTGAATCTTCCCGCCCGGCCGCGTGGTTCGCGTTGTTCGCGGGGTTCGCGGGGGCGGTCTTCCCGACGGAGGTCTCCTCCTCGTCGATGGCTCGAAGCTCCGTCGTCTCGGTGCCCGCGGGGGGCCTCCCTGTCTCGAGTGTCACGAGCGGAGTTGGTCGCCTGTGTTTCCTCGAATCGGATGTAATGCGCGGCCCTGTCGAGGAAATCTTAGAGGGATGTGGGCCGGTGTATGCCTACGGCCTCGTAGAATTTGGAGTCGTGGCGCAGGCCTTGTTCCATTAAGTAGCGTTTCATTTCGTCGGAAGTTGTCACCTGCACTGCTTCCCGAGTGAACCTTTCGATGTACTTTCGGAGAGGTTCGTCGGGGCCTTGGATGATTGCCCCGAGGACTGCTTCCGTCTTCGGGTGACGTCGGGACGCCGTAAAGTGTTTGGAGAACAGGTCCTTCAAGACCCTCCACGATGTAACTGATTCGAGCTTCAGACTTTTGTACCAGGTCATAGCGCCTTTCCTTAGAGTCGTCGGGAAGAGTCTGCACTTGATAGCTCCCCGGACGTTTCGGTAGTCGAGCATAGCCTTGATGTCTTCCAGGTGATCGTCCGGGTCGGAGGTGCCGTCGTATGTCGACAGCGTCGGTGGTTTCTCCATCCCCTGGGGTATGGGGGCAGCCATGATCTCCCGGGACAGCGGGGTGCAGTAATCATCCTCGTCGCTGTGCACCGGGGATCTGTGGGGAGATGAGCCGTTCAAGGTATGTCCCTGGTTTCGGGTTCTCGATCTCCTGCCTGAGTTCTCGCCTCGGGGGTCCTCGGTTGGGATCGCCGCGGTGTTCTGGTTCCTCACGCGAACGTGTCTTGCCGGGGATCTGGTGCGTTCTCGTGTCACCTGCGGGCGGTGTCTCTCCAGCCGCGGCCGGCGGTTTCTGGGTCGAGGTGAGGGACTCCTCGAACCTCCGTTCTGGTCTTCCCGTTGGGGGTACCTTGGAGGGCCGATGCGTTCTAATGCTCCAATTCTCGCGTCTTGCTGGGACAGCAGCTGGTTCGTCTGGTTGATGGCCGTAAAGAGAGCGGCCACCGTTGGGTCTGCTCCCGCCGGGATGGGAACGGGTTGGAATGCTGGCGGGCTCGGGGGTCGGTGATCGGCCAGAAGGGTCCGTTCCGCGGATGATGGCGAAGCGGTTTGCCCGTCCCTTTCGTCGGCTTTCGTCGGACGTGCCGTTCCTGTCTGCTTGCTCCCGTTGGTGGCGACGTTGAGCACGAGGTCGTGCGAAGTGTCGTCGCGGTGTGGACTAGCCATGATCGTGGAGGTTTGGTGAAACTTTTGGTTTTCTGCTCGGAGTAACGGGGAAGTTTCAAATTCCCACAGACGGCGCCACTGATCTGACCTGATCAGAAGGGGATCACGATATGGCCACACGCTGCTGGACTGCTACCTGTTCACCGGTGATGAGAAGGAGGAGGGGGGTGTACCTGCAAGACACTCCGATGCCAAAGTGAGAAGCTGGGCAGAGTGGAAGCAATAGTACAGAAAGGGGAAAAAAGAGAGTTGAATTCCCTGACCCTCTTGAGGAAGAGGGTATTTATAGAGAGACCCCAGCGCTGGGCCAACGGTCATTTGAGATGGGCTGGATGACCAGGCCCAACCCTAATGACTGTTAGGGCTTACGTGGCGTAGTGAAGACCAGGACGTGGTCTTCGCCCTAGTCCAACTGCTCCTAGATCTCCGGAAAGTGGGTTTGACCTGCTCTTTCGGAGGTGGGCAGTTGGTTGATGACGTGTCCCCGCGGAGGGGAGCACGTGGAGAACGTGCACCGGGCACGTTGTTCTCCCCGCGGAGGGGAGCTCGCGAGATACCCCGGATCGCCTTGTTCTCCCCGCGGAGGGGAGGGACCACGACCGCGTTTTGGTGAGCCAGGGATGGCCCTGCTCGTCTGGTACGGTGGATGGTGAAAGATTGTTGGGGCCTCGTTTGTGTTCGGCGGCATGCCCTGCTCGTCTCGGGGAATGCGCGTACCCGACGTGCCCGATTCGCCTGTTGGGCCGCACGCGGTATTGGGCCTGCCGAGGTTGGGCCCATACCGGAACACTTTATTTGTTGGTTTTAACTAAGTTTTTTAGGTTATTTGGAGATTGTATGGTATGCAAGAAATGTTAGTCTATAAATAAGGAGGTACCCTATCATTATAAAAAAAAACAGTTGCATAGAAAAAAAGATTGAATAAACTTCAGTTTGAAGGCAAAGAGAAACTCCGCATAAATATTCTCTTTTTTCCCCTTTTCTCCAAAATCCTAATTTGTTTTTTCTTCCCCAATTAATATTTTCTTTTCTTCTTTCATTATCTATTGTGTAGTAGAATTATCTTGCAATCAAGGTTGGTTGATTCACTTGAGTGAAGATTTGAAGAACAAGAGACAAAATCAATTGAAATAATTGATTCTTCTTCATCAAGATTGATTCGAAATTCTCCATAGATTTTGTATAATTCTAAAATCTAATATCTAGAGCACTGGCTGTGTGATTTGGGAAGCATAATACACCGAATCTTTCGAATGGACATTTTCTAGCGGGTATCCCAATTCTGAAGAAGCATAATTACGAGAATTAATGTTACAAACTCACAAAAGAACGTATGAATTGCTTCAGACGGAAGAAAGTGAAAGCATAACTAATTTCTTCACTAGTGTTACGAAACTAGTGAATCAAATCAAGATATGTGAAAAATCGTTGATATCAAGATTAATAGTCGCAAACATCATGAGGTCATTATCTCCAAAGTTTAACTTCAGGGTGTCACTACAAGAAAAAAGGAGATTTACGACACTTGAGTTGCGACAGTTATCACAAAACCGTCCTTATTCCTGGATTGCGACGGTTGTTACGACAGTTAGGGTCAACTGTCGTAGATTTTTTGCGACAATTATAAAAAAATCGTCCTTATTCCTGGACTACGACAATTCTCACGACGGTTTGAGCCAACCGTCGCAAATTATTTAGGCATGTTGTATAAAATAAGGCGACAGTTACCAAAGAACCGCCCTCTTTCTGCACTCGCGACGGTTAAGGCGAACTGTCGCAATTACTTTAGTTAATCATAATCACTATTTTTTTTATTCCTTTAATTTTCCACTTTTTTCTTCATTTTTATTTTCTAACCTTTTCAATTTTATTAATTAATTTAATAAATAATTATTATAATTATTATAATTTTTATGACAATGTAGCTTAATAGTAATAAATTAAACTTAAAATACATAAAAATTAAAATATTATATATACTTAAAATAAAAATTTAATTTTAAAAACAATTTTATAGTAAAAATTGAATTCGACAAACTTTTTATGAAGAACGGATCTCCATTCAACTTTTTTTATCATAAATTCTAAAAAGTGAAAGCAATGACTTTATGATGTTATTAGCAATACTTTTTAAAAAAATTCATCGCATGTCAATGTTCCTTGGATTACAAATTATTTTCAGCAAACAAAATTATTCGGTATATGTTTCTCCATTTTTGTTTTTGGGACAAATGACATTACAAGTATTTTAGCAGGCGTGATTCCATTTCCAAAATTTCAAAGCCGCCAAAAATTCAAAAATCACATTTTCTAAAATTTCAAAGGCACCACGTCATCGATCCGTTAACAGTCTAATCTGATATCTCAACCGTAGCTTAATATCCCATCAACGGTCTAAAATACACATCGAAACAAACCCGGATCCACACACTCTCGTCAAACCCCAAACAAGACCCATAAATAAACCACACACACATCATTGTTCTTCACACAATCAAAACTTTCTCGTCTTACATTCAAGGAATTTTCAAATCACGCATTGAAAAAGGAAAAAATGTCAGGTCGTGGTAAAGGTGGAAAGGGTTTGGGAAAGGGAGGAGCAAAACGACACCGTAAGGTTCTCCGCGATAACATTCAAGGTATTACAAAGCCGACGATTCGTCGTCTTGCTCGCAGAGGAGGAGTGAAGCGTATCAGTGGTCTGATCTATGAAGAAACACGCGGTGTTCTCAAGATCTTCTTGGAGAATGTGATTCGTGATGCTGTTACTTACACAGAGCATGCTAGGAGAAAGACTGTTACTGCTATGGATGTTGTTTATGCTCTTAAGAGACAGGGAAGGACTCTTTATGGATTTGGGGGTTAGGTTAGGGTTAGGGTTTCTTTTTCCAATTGTTTTGCTGCTGGTTGTAATTGATGATTATTCTGGGATTGAAATGTTACATCTAGAATGTGTAGGTATAGATTTGAAATGATTTTGATTTCAACAACTCTGTAATCTGTTCATTATAATACTCTAGTTACAACCATCTAGTTTTTGCAGGCTATTTTATTTGCCGTTCTGAGCTATATGAAGGACATTGACCTGTAAAATAGGTGTGCATAATTGGTAAAAACGAAGTATTTGGATTTAAAAATGAAGTAGTTGATAGTGATAGCATCTATTAATCATTTATTTGCCTATATATGGTATCTTAACATGCTTTCTTGCTCAACTCTAAACATTTTGTTCGAGTCTTCTACGTGCCAATAAAGTGAAATATGCACTTGATTTTTTTTATTTATTATTATTTTATTTTTTGCATTTTCATTTTTTTAAGAACGTATCTTGATATTTGTAGCTACAGCTTTTTTATTATTTCACTTTTATTTCTTTGCTTATTCATATTCATATTTCACTATCTTGCTTCTTTTAACAATGGTGTTAGGAAGATATCCACATGTTTATTCTAGACCGAAGGTATTCCTTCTCAAAAAAAACGTATCATGTCCATTCTCCCCTAATCCTAAGGTTTGCAGCGACGATTATATTAATTTTCTTTTTGGGTTTCTATCCTACTATTTGGTGCTTATTCTTACTTTCAGTGTCACGTGCCTTTTGTTTCTCTTTTTGTGGAGAAATTTTAACATTCCACTAACAAAGATATGGAGACAATAATCTGAAACTACCCAATGAGCTTCGATTAGAGCTTACTAGTATTGGAAAGAGTTAATGGACAAGAGCAACCTTTAGTCTTAACATGCACCTTGGGGTTTTTTGGATTAGGATCTACAATCTGCCTCTGATGCTAAGATCGATGTCCAAGGTAGAGAAAATAGGGAACATCCTGGGTGAGTTCGAGGAGATGGACTCGAAAGACAGACATTACAACGCGAGATTCTTGAGGATTCGAGTCAAGATGGATATGAACAAACCGCTAAAAAAAGGCAGAGTGGTGAGATTCAAAGAAAAGAGCTTCCATGTGTTTTTCAATTATGAAAGACGTCCTACCTTTTTGCTTGCTTGCAGAAGAATGAACCATCAACCAAAATACTGTGAGGGGTTGTGGGAGATTGGAGAAGAAGGATTTAAAGAACTTGATGAACGGGATCTCTCCTTTGGGATGTGGCTTCGATCAACTCCTCTTTGGAAAATTCCCGAAGAGCAACGGTTAAAGGAAGGAAACTCAGATACATGTAGTTAGAGTTTATTCCAAGTTTCATTTAGCCATAATAGATGTGTCTCTGAAGGTAAAGAAAAAGAAGGAGAGACTAAGATAGCCTGGATAGTAGGGCCAGAAGCAACCCTCAAACTAGGAGTTAACATTAACAAGAACAACGAGATAAAGACTGTTGCAGAATCTCTGGGGGTGGTCATTATATCGGGGGGATCAAAAGAGGAACCTAAACTACAAAGAACCACAAATTACATGAAGAAGAAATGGACTAGAAAGAATGTCGGGGCAAGAATGCTAAAATGTCTTTTCAATCTAAAGGAAATGGTGCGGGAAAAAGACAATTGTTTGAAGTTCAAGTAGCAGAAAGGTCGCTGGAGAAGTTGGAGCAACATGTCAAAAGGAAGAAGAATGAAGGAATCCTGGAGGTGATCATATCAAAATTACCAGAGATGGTGTTGAAAAACCAACACTACCTACCCCAATGAACATTCTAAGCTGGAACTGCGTGGGTTTAGGGAATCTCCTGGCAGTTTAGCCTTGTAAAGGCTCATTCGTTTAGAAAACCTAAACTAATTCTCCTTATGGAAACCAAGATGAAAGCTCAGAAATTCAATAAAATTAAGAGGAAGTGCACTATGGAGTGTGGTACCATAGTAGAATGTAAAGGAAAAAGGAGGAACAAGGGAGGAGGGCTAGCCCTTATATGGAACAACGAGTTATAACTAACATTTACATCATATTCTTTAAACCATATGAGTGACTATGTGCAAGATAAAGAGGAGGACCCACCTTTTAATTTTTTCGGGGTCTATGGCTTCCCCGAATAAGTGAACAAGAGAGAAACACGGAACCTGGTTAGAAGTTTCACTAAGGAGGTTGATGATGATTGATTTGATTTGGGGACTTCAATGACATTTTATACGAGGAGGAGAAGTTATGAGGTAATAAGAGATCAATAAGTCAGGTGATGTTTGGTAGAAACAAGATTGGAGAGCGTGGTTTGCAAGATTTAGGGTTTAATGGGTACCCTTTCACATGGACAAATGACAGGATGGATGAAGGAAACATCCAATGTAGATTGGATAGAGCCCTTGCAACCTCAAATTTTACCCAGAAGTTCCAAACTATTTGAGTCGAACACCTAGATATATTTTGCTCAAATCATGTTGTGATAAAAATTTATTTGGAATCTAATCAAGAGGTGCAAAGCAAAAGGCATAACCTTTTTTTTAAGATTTGAAGAAGTCTGGACCAAGAATGTGAGATGCGACCCACTGATAAAGCAACTTTGGAGTAGGTCAAAAAGTGGATGGGTCCAAAATATAAAAGATACGTAGGCTTTAGAGGAGGCTTTCGAGAAGTACAAGCCAGGAGAGATTCTGAAGGAAACCATCATAATTAAAGATAGGTTAAAGGAAGATCAAACTGGTATTCCAACAATAAATAAATCATGAATTATAAAGCCCGTGAAGCTCAACGCAATAAACTTCTAAAATCAGAGGTTGTATGGAGACATAGGAGTCGAGTTGTTTGGCTTTAAGCAGTAGACAAGAACACTAAGTTATTCCATGGTAAGGTTGCACAAAGGAGTACAACCAACCATATCCAGAAATTCAAAGACTTTAGGGCCCTTTGGAAGAAAAGGGAAGATAATTGTGAGAAACTCCTCATCTTTTATTTCTCTGAACTATTTGGTACCTCTCATCCCACAAATATTGAGAGTCATTATGAGGTGGTCAAAGGAAAGTTAAATGAAGGGCGTAAAGAGTGGTGCGCAGGAGAATACTCATATCAAGAGGTTGAAAAGGCTTTACACCAAATGCACCTTTTGAAGGCATTTGGTCCATATGGTCTACCAGATTTGTTCTTCTAGAAATATTGGCATGTGGTTGGTAAAGAGGTGAAGAAAATGGTCCTAAACATCCTAAAATATAATCGGGATCCTACTGGGATAAACAAAACCTTCATTGCTCTTATCCCTGAAGGTAAAAACCACAACTCCCCAAAGTGTTTAGGCCCATCAGTCTGTGCAATATCGTTATAAAGCTTGTTATAAATGTGATAACTAATAGGATCAATCCCACATTGCTTGATAATTATAGATACAAAGAAAAACACCTTTGTCAATGATAGACTGATAATTGATAATGCTTTTGTAGCCCTTAAATGTTTCCACTGGATGAAAAAAAAGACAAAAGGAAAAACAGGGGGTTATGGCACTAAAGCTGGATGTGTCCAAGGCATATGACATAACCGAATGGGGTTTCGTTGTAGGAGCTATGAAGGAGATGGGTTTCTTAGAGGTGATGGTGAACCTGATTCATCATTGCATTGAAATTGTCTCTGTTGTGAATTGGATACCTTCAAACAAAGTATAAACGGTTTTGTAATAATCAAGAAACACAGAAGGGTTAGGGTTAATAAAGAAGACAAGGTAAAACAACAAGGAACAACAAGGATTAGTTATTAAACTGCTATTCTTTCCTTTCTCTTAGAACAAGATTACAAGTATACAAGAATAACAAAATAACCTCTCTCCCTTGAAATTAGGATTTTATCTTCCTATTTTTCCTTATTCCAAGATTGAGAAACTAGCATCCTATTTATAAGAAAAATAGCACACTAACCTAATGGGTTTTTTAACAACTACCCATTACAAGCCAACTTAGGGTACAAGCTAACTTAAACAATTGGGCTTACAAGCAAGGCCCAATTCAACATGCTAACAGCCCTAGCAATATTGACTAATGCATGTTAGAACAAACTTCGACTACAACACGCATTACTTGCAAACAGAGTTCGATCCAACGTCTCACAAATCTCCACCTTGGATCTAACTCTATAAAATCAAGAAACTAGCTTTCTTCATGCAGCTTTATTAATTGCATACAGTGGAAAAACTTGCAACTGGGCAACATCTTGGTGATCATATCAGCAGCATTATAATTTATCGAAACCTTCAGCACTTGGACTTCTCCAAGCTCGATTACCCCTCTGATGAAATGAAGTCTCACATCAATGTGCTTGGTTCGCTCATGATAGGCTGAATTCTTTGACAGGTGTATTGCACTTTGACTATCACATTTAACAGTGATAACTCGACCTTGAAGTTTTAGCTCCTTTGCAAAACCTTCAAGCCACAATGCTTCCTTCACAACTTCAGTTAGGGCAATATACTCCGCTTCAGTGGTTGATAAGGCAACGACCTTCTGAAGTGTTGCTTTCCAGCTGATTTTTGTCCCAAACATAGTGAACACATATCCAGAGATAGATTTTCTGGAATCCATACAACCTGCATAATCAGAGTCGACATATCCTTTGATTGCTGCTTTACTATCTTCACCCAAGGCTCCACCATAAATTAGGACTCTATTCATAGACCTATTTATGTACCTTAAAATCCACTTTAATGCTTGCCAGTGAGCCTTTCCAGGATTCGCCATGTACCTGCTTACAAGACTTACTGTATATGCTATGTCGGGTTTAGTACAGACCATAACATACATCAAAGAACCTACTATGTTAGCATATGGAATGCTATTCATATATGTTCTTTCAACATCAGTGCTGAGACACTAATCTATACTCATCTTAAATTGAGGGTTTGTCGGAGTCACAACAGGTTTCTTGATCAGTTCCCAAGTGTTGTTATCATGAAGAGATTTCATCTCATTATCCATGGCCTTCATCCATTCGGTCTTCTTTCGAC